TAAATTACCTTCTAGACCGAATATATCCATCAGTACCTTCTTGATGGTGTGAACTTTTAAACGGTCCGGTACATTATAGACCACTACCTCCGTGAGGCATTTTATCCGGTCCATGACCTCAGTACTAATAGCATTGAGGAAACGCATGAAAGTCTCGGAGCACTTTTCATCCATTACATTGCCTGGGTGAATTAGGCTTGTAATAGCCACTAAACGCTCAGCTATTGGCTGTAAGCTGTTAAAGGTCACTTTCATACTCGCCAACTCCTCTTGCAGTTGCGCGATTTCTCGGCGCATAGAAGAAAATACGTCCATCACCCTTACGGAGCACGGCATGGTCACGTTGGTCGCCGTAATGCCCCCATTTTACTCGCTTTGTTTACACGATGGCTAGTAGATCTTCCTCCTTTTACCGCAAGCAATTGAGACCAAGTTAGAGAGTCAGCCAAAAAGGAGAATAGTAATGGAAAGGGGAGAAGTAACAAATAAGGTACAACGATATTGCCAAGGAAAATACCAGACAGCGGAATTCTGATAAATATCAGAGTAGATATAAAAGGTTTCTAGTAGGCAGACGGTAGACTGCACCAGATGTATAACTCCCACAAAGATACAACCAGTCGAGAGCGAAACGAACCAACCTGCCAGGGTGACATTGACGTATATTTGTATTCGTGGCATTCCGTTAACTATATTTTCTGAATTCCTGCAATTAGCTAGGATTTGTTTGTAAACAACCTATTACATATGCTATTTAATTAAGGTTTATATCACCGCTTCCTTACGCATTAATCGAGTTTTTCTCTTTTTCTTTCTCTCTCTCTCTCTCTCTCAAGAGATTGGCTGTTGTTTGATATCCCCGGTGTGAATGCGCTTGATGTGCATGTTGACAAGGTGCTTACATGCCTATTACCCACTACCGCGTCCATACTGGCTCCAGGAGACAGTTGGTCGTTGCTGGAGGGGAGAGGGTGCACGGTTCTTGTGGCCATGCAACGCTCGAAGAGTGGTTCCATGCACTCAGTGTGGAGCGGACTACGTTCCAGCCACCGCCTTGTGTGCGCTTGATTCCCCAAATACAGTGTGCTTGTGTTTGGCTGTGAAGGAGTGTGGGCCGGCTCCGTTGATGAAACGTGGCTCCCATCCGCATGCCTCCCGGTCTTATTCCTTCGGGTTTACACTGGATATGGGGTGTGTGGTTGGAGCTGTGGGTGGTGCAGCGCAAGCCATCCATGGTCCCTCTGTAGGCGCAGGCGTCCTGTGGCTTGCCACAGTGACAGGCAACTCCGAAACCGGATGCCGCCAACCACGTATGTAATTATTTCGGGTCGCAGCACTATATGTATGTTGTTTGCGGCTCGTCAGTTGCAAGAGAAGTGCAGAGAACGACACCAGCCATTGTATTCACTTTTGTTGTTTTCACCAAAGCATTTGATACGGTGAACCGCGAGGCACTGTGGCTGGTGTTGGGTGAGTTTGGTTGCCCGCGTAAGTTTGTAAGTTTAATTGAATGTCTGCAGAATGGTATGCGAGCAAAGGTTCAGCTGAGTGGAGAGACCTCGGATGACTTTGCAGTTGTCTCTGGTGTGAAGCAAGGCTGTGTCTTAGCTCCCGCCCTGCCTAATATATATCTTCATGTAATGTTGTCTTGTGCTTTTGATGCGGCTTGTGCTTACGGTGTTGGTGTGGAGCACCGTATTGATGGCGGGTTGTTGAACATCCGTCGTTTCGTTGCGAGAATTCTAGTCTGTGAGACAACTGTCCGTATCTTGCTGTTTGCTGACGACTGTTCGTTGTTTTCACAGAGCGCGGATGATTTGAAGCACATGACTAGTGCTCTGACTAAGTCTCTTCATTTCAGGTGGTGTGTTCACAGTTTGTGCCCCAATGCTGTTCTTTCTCATATAAATGTCTACCGTTATTCTATTCCATTAACTTGCGCACCCCGCCTAAGGCAATTGTATTCGATTTCCGTAGCATATTTGTATTCGTGGCATTCCGTTAACTATATTTTCTGACTTCCTGCACTTAGCTAGGATTTGTTTGTAAACAACCTATTAACATATGCTATTTAATTAAGGTTTATACCACCGCTTCCTTATGCATTAATCGAGTTTTTCTTTTTCTATTTTTCTTTCTCTCTCTCTCTCTCAAGTGATTGGCTGTTATTTGATATCCCTGGTGTGGATGCGCTTGATTTGCATGTTGACAAGGTGCTTACCTGTCCAATACCCACTACCGCGTCCATACTGGCTCCGGGAGACAGTTGGTCGTTGCTGGAGGGGACAGGGTGCAGGTCCTTGTGGCCGTGTTAGGATCAAAGATTGGTTCCATGCACTCAGTGTGGAGCGGACTACGGTCCAGCCACCGCCTTGTGTTCGCTTGATTCCCCAAATACAGTGTGCTTGTGTTTGGCTGTGAAGGAGTGTTGGCCGGCTCCGTTGATGAAACGTGGCTCCCATCCGCATGCCTCCCGGTCTTATTCCTTCGGGTTTACACTGGATATGGGGTGTGTGGTTGGAGCTGTGGGTGGTGCAGCGCAAGCCATCCATGGTCCCTCTGTAGGCGCAGGCGTCCTGTGGCTTGCCACAGTAACAGGCAAAGCCGAAATCGGATGTCGCCAAACATTTATTTATTTACTTATTTATTTATTTATTCGGCCGAATCTAGGACAACGCGTTTATTCCTCCACGCCTTTCTTCTTTTAGTAAATTTTAGAAGGCGTTAATTTTTTGTGATAATATTGTTTACGCGCATCAACATATTCCGTGTGTCTACGTAGGTTAAAAATGCCTTTATTGCCATACCGAAGACTTCCAGTTGGCATAAGCTCTATTTACGGTACATTAGCTGGTAAAAGTGGATCAGTTTTGTCTTGTATTTTTGGCTTTCCTAGGTTGCCTGGTATCTGTGATAGTCCCATGAAGTAGCATAAGCCGCTTCCTGACCGCGTAAAAGCCGAACCACAATAATCAAATTGGATACTCTAGTCTTGGAACTTGAACCAAGGGAGTGTTCACGGCAGCTACGGTAAATAAGTTTGAGGAGCCGATGACTCTCTTGTACGGTAAGACGAAACACTCCCCAGTTCCTGCCCTAATTTCCCCAATCAAGTGACTCAATTTACACGCTTCACTTCCCCTACTGGTACTCATTGTCATTTGAATGAGGTTGCTTCACTTGCTTCTTAGTTATTTTCCATAATTTGCTTAATTCACTTGGCTTGCACAAAAGGCAATCTACTGCCATAAGCGCATTAATTAGAAGACCTGCGTGAGGCTCAGGTATTTCTTAGTAGATACAACAGAATTAAAGTAAACAATATGAATAATTGGGGTAACGAACTGCTGAAGAAGAGGAAATCACCGGAGTCACCCATCGTAACGACGCCATAGCAAGCAAAGTCTTTACTTGTGTTATAAATCAGAGCATACAAGATTATAGCACGGCGTTGTTGCATGCATAGCTGGTTCAATTGAGGTCGACCTGACTGCGATTTCTAATTATTGTACTACGTTTCATAACTCCTGTCACATCTAATTAGATGACAACAAACGGCAAAGAATAATTACCAAAGCGCATTTTTCTCCTATGTCCTTACATTAGCAGCAAAGTCTCTTTACCATTCATGATTGAAATTCCGTACCTCCTAGAACTCACGTGAGCATGCCTCCGTTGGCGTGTCTTGATAGCTTGGCAGGAAAACTGACTCAATTATTTATGTATGTGATTGTGTACTCAAACGTCGCCATACTGTAATACCAATATTCCAATGCATCTTTGGCAGCTACGCGACTTTGTTCGGAATGGCCACCCTGCAATAAAAATGTTACCGGTCAGCAAGAAATGGAAATCGTACTGATAAAAAGCTTTAACTTGCCAGCACGGTTCGAAGCTAGTGTAACCAAAACAGCACAACGGCAGGTTAAAGCAAAGAACAAAACAAGCAAAAGAACAAAATCGACGTTGAAAGAGTTCGAGCATCGACTTGAGGCTCTCGGTCTGCAGTTTAAAGTCTTCCCCTTCGTGTCTTAAACTTTTCTGCGTCTATTACGGCTTACGCTTCTTTAACTCATTTTAACTTACATTTTAATATTGCCTACGATATTCGATTAGCTTGTCTTCTCTGTTTTCTTTTCTTTACTGACACTACTGTTTTCTTTTATTCTGCACGTGGCCGGCACAGCGGGGACTGCTAGTGCAGGGCACGTGGGCATTGTTTGGTTGACCATATGAATCGTGTGTGTTGATTTGGCTCTCCTTTGGCACATCAAGGCACCGGTTTCCCTGTTGGATCAACGACGTTTTCAAAGGTGGAACATTCGCGGGATTTTCCTACTGTTCCGGTCCCAATTGAACTTGAACTTGAACTTGTATATCTAAATATTCATAACAAAGGGAAAGCGACTGCATTATTAGTTATCAGGCTTAGGTTATGGTGACTAAATTTCCCCGGCTTAATCATTCTTGCAGCCTCAGAATAATGTGCCAGTTGCGCGGATGGGACAAATTTGTCGACTAGATGTTCGGGATTGTAGAATCTCACAGAGCGTAATATTAGATTTTAGATAAAATACTTCCATAAAAAAATTCCGAAGCCATAGTAAAAGGAATACAAATAATAAATTACAGCATTAACTAAAATAAAAAATCATATACTAATAAAATACAAGGTAATAGAACAAACTGCATGGACATTTATCACTATCCATGGTTTTTAAAATGTGTACCACAAATTGTACACTTCGGCCTCATAAATATACATCTTTGCACCTTCTTTACTTTTGTGTTTATAACTCGTCAGTCACTTGTTAGGTTTACACAGCCCAGCCTAGCTGTTAGCGCGCAGGTGTACCGAGCATCCCAACGGAACTGTCTTACACGCAGTCTGGATTTTGTGTGTCGGACGGTCTCCTACGCGTGTGCATGCCTCTCTGGTGCCCGTTCTCCTTCCCTCGTTAAGTGGGGGCTATATCCTAAGTAGTGGGCAACTAGCTTACATGTCTTCAACTGCCGCGGTTGTCCCTGGTGTGACTTATCACTTACCAAAAGCGGTTGAAGGTTCTTATAACCACATCAATTCTGAACGCGATCACACGCACAAACGCTTTTTCAGCAAGGAAGCGGATAGCGAAAATGTTACTGCTGACGGATGTACAAATGTCCAGTCTCCAAATTTTGCTTCTGCAAGTTTTGATGCCGCCCTTAGAAACTCCTTGAGACCCCTACTGCATGACAAGTCATCCCCTTTCGACTCTCACTATCCCGACGCTTGTCCAAAGTTCCTCCAGCGCACCCTTTCATTCCGCGAGTCAGATGCCCCACCGTTAGATACAATAATTCGACAACGCATTCAATCCCTCCCGAGGCATCTAATACTTACTGATACAGATAATCAAAAATCTAAGAAACGTAAGTTACTTACCTGTGGCACTTTTTTCTTATGTTTCATATCAGCAAATCTGTCAATTTTATTACACTGCACCACATCTGTTTTGAGTAAATACCCTCTAGAGATGCTACTTGTCTCGATCTTATTATCTTTTATGACTGATTCACAGGCTCTTTATCGGAACTATGTTACCATACTTTGTCATTGCACTCATTTGGAGTACTTTACTTTGTGGTCGTTTATCACGGTCGATTTCCTGCTTCCATGGACCACCACATGTTATCCTCCACCGTGACCGGATCGCCGCTACTCCTTGAGTTCACCACTCAGTGGCATTTCTACGTGTCTAGGTTCACTAGGTGGAAAACAGTCCGAAGTAACAGGAAGGACAAGTAGCTTATGCTCTGTAAGTGTAGTAAATGTACGACCTTCAAGGGGCTAAACGTGTTTACTGAGAGAAAAGTGGCCGAAGGGTTTCTTCTGTATTATACCTGGTCTGTGCATGTAATTTACGTTAAAATATAGGCTACTTCCATATGACCATTATGGAGATGTAGGACGGCCCACCTTCTGTCTGACGCATCGATCTTTTGGACTAGAGGTGAATCAGCATCAGTCTGCAAATGGGTAAGCGCAGTGACGTTGAACAAGGCATGTTAAATCCTGTCGAAAACGTCTAATACGTCGTCGGTGGGTTTGAATTTCCGATACCTTACTTTCAGCACATCGGTTCAAGTTTGAAGTGGTTTGGAACAATCAGGTATAACGCCGCCGTAATAATACGCTATCCCGAGGAAGCGGCCCGGGCTTTTGTAGGACTGTGGCATCGGACACTCCATGGTCGCTTTCTCTGAAAATGGAATGATGCCGTTGCGATCGATACAATGGCCAAGAAAATCAACGCTGGACTGGCGGGGAACACATTTGTCCACGTTGTTCGTGACGCCATAATAATCGGAACGCTCAAGTATTTGCGAAGATGTAGTTGTTCTTCGTCGTTAGAGCTGACCACGGGAATGTTATCCATATGGTAAAAAACAAACTCAAATCTCCGATGAATCTAATCGGGAAATCTCAAACATTTGTGCGACGTTTCGTAAACCGAAAGGCATACAGACAAACTCGTAAAAACCGAAGGGTATCGTTATGGCCGTCTTGGAAATTTGGTAAGATGACCGGACCAGATCAATCAAGATTACTTCACTGTGTAAGCCGGTAGTAAACTCGTGAGTATGAGATCCCGGATATCTGTCTGGAGCAGTGGCATTATTAAATGTGCGGTAGTCACCACAAGGTCGCCGATCACAAAATTTATTCGGAATCACGTACAAAAATAAAGATCATGCGTTGAACCGGGCAATATTAAGACGTATGTACTCAAACTCGGCTTTGACATTAGCGAGTTTATCGGGTGGCAGTCAGCGAAGCCGAGCCGTGGCCAGAACTCCATGCGTGACGATTTCGTGCACGATCTCGTGTTTAGGTTCGGGACAACTTTTGGACGGCAGATACAGCGCGGGAAATTGTTAAAGTAGCTCATGAACACAATGTTAGTCGGTAGAGTCATGTGAAATCCAATCTAACAGATCGAAGTGGCTCTGATCGGATTGGTGACGGACGTGGTACTATCACGAAGTTCACTTTGCGTAACTCGACAATAAGACTAAAATTGGTAAGGAAGTCGACACTAATGGACATCTGCGATCAGGAAGACGAAAGAAAAGCTTCGTTGGGGGCCAAGATCGAGAGTCAGCAGTTTCTGAGTGGGTATTAGCCTAACGCCAGTTGTGAGAAAATTACTGGCCTCGATTCTCGTTCGTCACCTCGCTGCGAAGCGGGAATCTCGGATTAGGCAAGAGCAGGCTGATTTCCGCCCAGGACGTGGCTGTATAGACCATATATTCACTTTTCGGCCGGTGCTAGAGCAGCGCCACGCATACCGCAGACCGACAGTTGCTGTGCTCCTCGATTTCAAGAGTGCGTTCGATTCAGTTGGTCGATACATTCTGTTCGAAATACTTGCGCGGAAAGGTGTTCCCACGGAATATGTGAACATTCTTCGTGCTCCATACTCGAACACTACAGGCCGCGTCAGGGTGTACGGTGTCCTATCGGATAGCTTTCCCTCAACAAGTGGCGTTCGTCAGGGTTGTCCGGTTTCCCCATTTTTGTTCAATTTCGTCGTGGATTCTATCTTAGAGTGTTCCCTTGCGGAATCTCACGATGTAGGCGTTGAAGTGCTGCCTGGGGAAAGGTTAGTTGATCTAGATTATGCGGACGATATCGTCTTGCTTTTCGACAATGATGGGGCGGCACAATCAACCCTGAATAGCCTGTCCAGAGTGGTCCCATTATTTGGTATGCACTTCCCACCTTCAAAGTGCAAAGTGTTGCTGCAGGACCACCAGCCACTTGATGACCCCTTGACGCTTGCCAACGAGGAACTCGAGGTGGTTGATCAATTCGCTTATGTAGGCAGCTGCATGGGCAATGATGGGCGCATAGAAACTGACGTCAGCTCACGCATTGCAAAGGCCAGAGCTACCTTATTGAACATGCGGCATGTTTGGCGACAGAAGGGAGTTTCCCTCCGTCTGAAAGGCCGTGTATACAAGGCCACAGTGAGGGCCGTTCTGCTGTATGGTAGTGAGACTTGGCCCATTCGATCTGATGATCTGAGACGCCTTCAAGTCCTTGATCATCGTTGTCTGCGAAGTATTGCTGGCGTCGGATGGCACCAGCGTGTCCGCAACGATGCTGTGCGTAGGCGAGTACTAGGTGGCGATAATCATGCTCCCTAGATAGCACTGAATAAGGTGCGTTGGCTCGGGCACATGCTACGTATGCCTGATCACCGGTTACCTAGAAGGGTCTTGTTTAGTCTGCCAGGTGTAGGGTGGCGCAAGGCTCAAGCCGGACCGAAGTTGACTTGGCAGCGGGAAATGAAGTCACTGATGACCAAACTGGGTGCCGTTGGTCCGTCTCGCCTTCCGGGCTGGAGTCCACGTGACTCGCCTTGTGCTTGGCTCGAGACTTTACAGGACATGGCTCGCAACCGACATCAGTGGCGCGTCTGCTGCCGTCTCCTAATCGGAGTGCCTGTTTAAAGTGTGTTTGGTGCTGAGTTATCTGCGGGGTAATGGCTGATTATGACGCGTGGCAGTAAAAGCCGCAAGGAAGCTGTCTCGCCGATGCCGCCTTATGTTTGCACGATGGCCAGCTGTTTGTGGCGGTATGTTGTCTACACAAGGTGTAGGCGCCTTGACCCTGAATGTTTGCTTAGGGCATTAAGGTTTTCAGGTAAGTCCCCCTTCTCTCACTCTACTTATTCTTTATTTCATAGGTCTTCGTGGTTGTATGGCAGCGAAGCATCAGTTCAAATGGCTGATGTACTGCTGTCGATGATGATGATGATGGAGGGTTTGTATGTCGTCCCCCAGCAAGGCGATATAATCGGCGTAGCCCAGGTCCCTGACTGTTTCAAGAAAGGAGCTCAACACGGCAGTTCTGGACACCTTCCGGTGCTTCTTAGACGACATCTTCGGTGGCAAAATGGAAAGGGAAGGTGAGATAGGGCAACCTCGGCGGACACCGCTGGTCACAGTAAACGAAGAGAGCGTGCCGTAAGCCCTAATTTTACCCGACGTGTGACTGTAAAGTTCTTTCAGGATGGTTACAAACTTGTCGGGCACACCATTCTTCAGTAAACAGTTCCACAACGCAGATCTATCCACTGAATCAAATGCCGTTCGAATGTCCAAGAACACTACGAGTCTTGGCCGCCGGTGGATGTGAGGAAGTTCGAGAAGTTGGCGGAGCGGGAAGATTTGGTCGATGCAGATGCGGCTTGGACGAAATTTGGCTTGTTCTTCTTGGGAAAACTCCTCTCTAGTCGTTTAAAGCCTGCGAAGTAGGACAGACATGATTTTGGATGCGACAGAGATCAACGAGATTCCGCGGTAGTTACAGTACTCGTCACAGGAACCGTCCTTGTGAATCGGAACAATGACCGATTCTCCCCATGAGTTCGGAACCTTCTCCTCAGTCTAAACTTTCGTGAACAGCGATAGGATTTCGCTTACAAGCACACATCCGCCATCTTTGAATAGAACCGGTGGTAGGCTTTGTGGCGTTTCAAAGATTGGATTGCATCTCGGCTCTCTGCTTCAGTTGGAGGGCCTGTGCAGACAGGCCACGCATCATCCCTTGAGGCTGGAGGTTCCACAGGGGGCTGTGTTGGGTGGTTGAATTGTAGAGCCAAATGCTCTGCCCAGCAACCCAATCGCCTGTAAAGGTTGGTGATCTTCGCGCCGTCTGATTCACAAATCGTCTGGCTGATAGCGTAGGAATTGCAACCGGTGGTCCTGATGATGCAAAATAGACAGCGGAAGTTGCCAGCTGATGCAGTGGCTTCTATCTCGTCAGCTCGTTTTGACCACCAGGTTTCACGATCAGAGCGAAGACTTGTTTTCAGCTGTTGCGTAATATATCGGCGGTGTTCGTTGTGCTCTGCACCAGCAGGCCCCGCCCGTCGGCGATCCAGCAATTCCAAGGATCTTCCCGAGATCCAGGTTTTGGGAGTGGAGCAAGCGAGGCCGGAGCTGGACAAACCGACCGACAGCATGGCTTGTTGCAGACTTGACCAGTGTTGATCAACATCCAGAGTGGGAGAAAGGACAAAGATTTTCACGAAGCTTTTGTTGATACTCCTACTTCACCATTAACTTCTCCAACTTGTAGGTCTTCAGTCGGGTGTATTTGGACCTAGCTGAACTACCGAAACTCATGCAAACGGTCGCACATATTAATGCATGATCGGTATCGACGCATTTTGACCAAAATGATTGGCAGTCGCGTACGCTGGTGCGCCACATGCGACTTATGGCTATGTGGTCCATCTGTGACCAGCGCTGGGTTGATGATGAGGGGCGCCAAGTGACGTACTGGCGTCCAGGATGACGGAAGCTCGTGCTAAAGAGGAAAGGCTAATGATCAGCACACAGACTGAGTAGTCCCTCTC